AGAAGGAAAGAGGGGGAGGGGGGGGGGGGCGCCGCCCCCTCCTAGTCCAATTCGGACCAGGCCATGGGGGGCGCGCTGCCTCCCCTTGTGGCCCTTCTCTCCTTTCCACTAAAGCCCAATAAGGCCCAATACTTCCCCCGGTGAATTCCCGTAACTCCCTGGTTCTCCGAAAAATACCCGAATCACTCGGAACATTTCAGATGTCTGAATATAGCCTTCCAATATATGAATCTTTACCTCTCGACCATTTCAAGACTCCTCGTCATGTCCGTGATCTCATCCGAGACTCCGAACAACCTTCAGTACATCAAATCACATAACTCATAATACATATCGTCATCGAACGTTAAGCGCGCGGACCCTACGGGTTCGAGAACTATGTAGACATGACCGAGACACATCTCCGGTCAATAACCAATAGCGGAACATGGATGCTCATATTGGTTCCTACATATTCTACGAAGATCTTTATCGGTCAAACCGCACAACAACATACGTTGTTCCCTTTGTTATCGGTATGTTACTTGCCCGAGATTCGATCGTCGGTATCATCATACCTAGTTCAATCTCGTCACCGGCAAGTCTCTTTACTCGGTCCGTAATGCATCATTCCGTAACTAACTCATTAGTCACGTTGCTTGTAAGGCTCATAGTGATGTGCATTACCGAGAGGGCCCAGAGATACCTCTCCGACAATCGGAGTGACAAATCATAATCTCGATCTATGCCAACTCAACAAACACCATCGAAGAACCTGTAGAGCATCTTTATAATCACCCAGTTATGTTGTGACGTTTGATAGCACACTAAGTGTTTCTCCGGTATTCGGGAGTTACATAATCTCATAGTCATAGGAACATGTATAAGTTATGGAGAAAGCAATAGCAATAAACTAAACGATCATAGTGCTAAGCTAACGGATGGGTCTAGTCCATCACATCATTCTCTAATGATGTGATCCCGTTCATCAAATGACAACATATGTCTATGGCTAGGAAACTTAACCATCTTTGATTAACGAGCTAGTCTGGTAGAGGCATACTAGGGACACTCTGTTTGTCTATGTATTCACACATGTACTAAGTTTCCGGTTAATACAATTCTAGCATGAATAATAAACATTTATCATGATATAAGGAAATATAAATAACAACTTTATTATTGCCTCTAGGGCATATTTTCTTCAAAAATGACTTGGGACGCGTGGTTCAATAAATAAAATATTTAGAATAAACGAATAGAAAAAAACTCCCAGATTGCGACATAGGAGTATCAACTTAAGTGTACGCTTCCCAAGGCCTAACTTAAGAGTATCTCTTCCTTCTATGATAGCTCGCCATACTTGGCTCCGAGAGGTGCCCAATTCTGCATCATGTAAGTCCATACCCCGGAAAATATACAACTTTTAAAATTTGACCACTTAGAGAATTCTTCACTTGTAGCAGCTTCCATGCCTGTTCTGCTAGCATTGATGGATTGAAGAGCTCAATACCTCTAAAGCCCAGTCCACCCATATATTTTGGTTGTGTCATCTCTGCCCATGAGACCCATGCCACTTTTCATTCTTCCACCTTCCTTGCAACCTCCCTTGAGGTAGACTCGATCTCTCGGTAATTTTGATGGGTTAATTATCCCCTCATTCACAATCACCCTTATAGGTGGCTCTCCCCCCTTCCTTTCAACCTTCTTGGCCAGAGCCTTCTTCCAAATAGGATCACCTGGTACTCCTTGAATTGTTGCCCAAACTAGAATCTTGTCCAATTTATATTCCTCAACATTACTAAAACCATCATATCCTTGCAAGACAACTGCAGCACCCGAAACAGCCATGGGCTTCCATACCTTTCCAGTCACCCAAACAGCTAAACTGGACAATAAGTAGGTTTGCCCCCATAGTCTTTAAGGTAATGCGATGCGCCGATGCCCATGCAGTGTGCATCGCATTGAAGAGAACTGTGTGACTAAAAGTCCTTGTCGTATGAACTCTGAAAACTGCCAGCCAACAGACCTTATTGATTAGATCCTGAAGTTCCGCAACCAAAAAATCGAGATCGGTCTCTTCCTCTTCACACGAATTCAAACCCTTGAACCGATCTTCCAATATCGGCTTCGGTCCCCAATCAACTTCATCCTTCTCATATTCAGGACGCTCCCTGTCACCCTAACACCCTCTCCCGCGCCACTAGTTTCTGCCTATTCCCGATCTGACACTTCCTTCTCCACCTACTCTACCACCTGCCCTAATTCACCATCTACATCCTCTTCCTCCCTTTCTCCGTCTCCGCCACCATCTACCATTGATGGACCAGCCATGCACTCGTCCGCTCGGAGGCTTCTACTCGCCTAGATTCCTGCCTTGTCGGAATAGGGCCGGTATGTGAGGATGTGGTGGACTCCGACGTGGTCGGCAGAGGAGGGGTAAACGCTAGAAAAAACTAGGGGGGAGGGTGCTCCCTTGGGCGGTAACTAATCAATAGGTTTCCTTATAAAAAATGATTACTGGCCTTGGAATCAAGCGATGTACACAACCATTAATTAAAATTAATCAAGTATCAAAGTGCCAAGAACATCTCAAGTAGCCAAACAAAGGCAAGAAACAGAACGAAAAGGCACAACCGACAAAAATAGGACACCATTCCTACACACATATTCTATTATTGGACCGTCAAAAAACTGATCGATAGGTGATCTTAGAATTCTCGATCTCCTCCTCTGCTGCTGCAGCCCTTGGCCTGAAGAAAAGTTGGTTCACCGCCAAGGGCCAGACCCAGATGGGCCTCAGGAGGTGCATGGGGTTCTTAGGGCCTGTTTGGTTCCCTTGCATGTTCGCCTACTGGGCGAGGCTAGCCTTGCCGATGGAGGCTGGCCAAATCGGCTTGCCCGATCGACCAAAGGAAAAACCGGAAACAATAAGGCATGATCGCCCACGAACCAAATATCCTTGCTAGGCTGGGCAAGGCAAGCGCTTGCCAAAGAACCAAACAGACCCTTATTTTCTTATTGATTTTTTATGAACTGTTTATGGGTTGAAATGGTACAGTGCCGCAGTGCCAGCGTCAACAGTAGCATAATTGTATTGTTTGTTCTCCTCTCGAACTCGGAAGCCTTTGATGGAGCATTCGCACCAACTGTGCAACCGGACAAAATGGTCTCTTGGTGCTCCGTCGGAAGCAGCACCACTGAAGCAGTGGTACCCGATCCCATTCTCGGCATCCCGCCGGGGCTCCACCGGCGCTGCACCGATGCACACCACCCGACCACCGTCTCCTCCGGTTGACGCGTCCCCCTCCACTCAGGCTGGCGATGCCGGCCGGCCGCGCGCTTTGTCCAGCCCGGTGCGCCAAGAGGCAAATGCCAACAGCAATCATACGCAGACCACGCCTTGGGCCTCCGGAAGCGGCAGACAGTCAGAGAACCTGATGGCATTTGTTTACTCTGCTTTCTCAGCTTATCGTGCGTGGACACATCCCTGCGTCTCGAGCGCCCGCTGGCACCGGCGGGCACCAATGATGGATGGATGTTGCTCAAGAGGAATCAACGTACGATTAGTGTATCCGCAGACATACATACTCGTTTGTTTTTCTACCTAGAAAGGGTCGTCCCTGATTAAAAATAGCTCTCGCTTTTGGGGATACCCAAGCACTAAACGGAGCATACAGATTACACAGAATTAGCATACGAAGACAAGGAATTTCACATCAAGTATTAATGCAGCACACTTAACCGAGAAGGGAAAATTTTGCCACTTGCCGGAAGGAACAAGTGCTCGGTTACATTACAGGAAAGGCGTTCCGTTAGCAACCAAATCAGTAAAAGTGCCTTTCCTGGCCCCATGCCCGTCGCCCAAGGCGATCAAACTCTATCCGCACAACCAACGAGCGAAAGCTCCCACGGTCCTAATAAGAGAAATAGAGTACAGTTGCTCATGTTTGAGAGCAAAATGAACCCAAACACCTACGCCTTTCATCAGAGAAAACCCCAAGCCAGAACCACGGATGATCAGTATTCACTGCCAGAAAACTGTACTTTTCCCCACAGCCAGAAAATAGGTCACCGCGGTCCGCAAGGCAGCTTCTGGCAGCGAGTAGATAGATAGATAGATACAACCAAGTTAGCTTAATTGGTGCGTGCCACCTCAATTAGCTACTACGGTCTCCGCTTTGGATTCGGTCACCATCCGCTTGCCTGCTTTTTTACCGATCCTAGACCGCGGTAGCAAGTTGTAGAGTGATCCCGTTCCAGTCTTATCACCTCCATTCTACCGTGTCCACACGCTTTTGGAATTTTGTTCGTGGCGCAGATCAACCATATACCTGCTGATCTTTTCTCCCTGGGAAAAACAAATATACTCGGTGAGCTTTTTCAAGAAAAATAATATACTTTGGTGGTGATGGCTAGTCCTTTTCCTTTTGATTATAAGGCCGCTGGGCGAGCATCGAATTCTCCCGTACCATCAGAAAGCAGAGGCCTTCATTTCCATGCCTGGCTTAAAAAACAGTGCGTGCGCTCCTTAAATTCTTTGCTGGCCCTTCCTTTACGTTGTCCTTGGACCTTGGGGCGAGTTGTTGAGACTAGCTAGCTAGACTAGACTGGAGGACTGATGCAACATGCACGGCAGAGTGTGGCCCAAATGGAAGGACGGACGGAGAAAATATCTAGCGAAAGGAAACCTATACCATAAGAAAAAGAAGATTTGTTTTCCTTTTCTTTTGTTTGCACAGATACGCATTCTGTGATGGGTATCGTGAAAAATCACACAGGACGTGTATGTATACGGTTATCGAGGCTCAAGACAGTACCCTACAAAGTTGGGACATGAGACAAAGTAGCAGATAAGCGAAGGGTTAGACATCTTTGGGCCATGCATATCATCTGGACTGCGTCTGATCTACTCCTACTAACACGAGGAAATTAGTTATAGCTGCATGAAGAACACCAGTGAAGAATACAGGTGTAACGAAAAGAAACTGAACGAACAGGGAGGCAAAGATTTGCACGTACTAGTTCATAGAATTCAGTAGCATCTCATCATAGATCTGGATGTACAAATTTACATACATATTATTTCCCAGAAAAAGAGAGAGGAAAAGTAGCAAGAGCTGAAGAAGAACGAGTCCCAAATGGAGTCTAGCTAGAAGCCTCAGCCCTCGATCGAGAGGGCAAGCACAACCACCGATCGAACAGCACAAACACATGCACACGACCCTGCACCGGCCACCACCCCTCAAGAAACGGAACAAGATCACGCTAAAATTAAGCTATAGCGGCCACGAGGCCGCTCGCTCGCTCGCTCCCTCGTCGATGAGATTCAGACGACTACGGCGTAGTAGACGGGCGTGTGGCCCCTGTCCCCGCCGGCGAGCGCGCCGAGGAGGCGGCGGAAGGCGGCGACGGGGCAGGGGATGCGGAGCGGGCCACGGCGCGCGTAGCCGTACTCCTGCGCGGCCCGGCGGAGCAGCTCGGCGATGGGCGGGCGGCCCAGCAGCTCGGCCGGCACGAGGAAGCGCTCCGTCTCCTCCCCCTCCGCGCCCACCTCCACCGGCACGTGCCCCGCCGGCACCTTCCCCGACGCCGCCGACGGCGAGATCGCCATCTCCGCCACGGCCCCCGGCGCCACCCTGCACGCCCCCGTCGACACGCACCGCAGCAGCCCCCCCTTCTTCATCGCCTCCTCTTCCGCTCCCCTCACGCGGCTCGGTCGAAGGTGTGGCGTGCGGAGGAGGATGGGATGGAGATACCGAGGCGAGGCGAGGTCGGCCGCGCGCAGTGAATGAGCTAGCCTAGCACAGCAGGCACAGTGTAGGGAGCAGCGATGGGCGGGTGGCGCAGGCGTCGCTATATAGCGCCCGCGCGCGTGCCTCGGGCGCGAGATCGCTCCCCGTCACGACGCCGACAGGCGGGTCCCGGAGCCCCTCGGGCCCGCTTGTCGGCGACACGGACGGGCGAGGCGTACGAATAGGACCACGGAGAGTACTTGCCGTGCAAGGGGAGAGTGGGACGGGGTCGGGGTCGAGCTCGAGCTGAGTGGGACGGGATCGCCTGCGCGGCGCGCCCGTGTCACCTCGCCTGCGGTGCGGCGAGGCGTGGCGGCGCGTTGGTCGACACGTCGGGCTCGCCGAGTTACTACCCGTCTTTTCCCCATTCGTGAATCGGCGGCAGCCGGATCAACTCGGCCATGGAAAGACTGATGGACCATGGATGGGGCAAAGGAAAAGAGACCCACTCATGGCGGAGCAGGAGGACAGGCGCGAACGTGGCGTGCCGGGGGTCGGGCGGGCGTCCGCCACTCCACTTGCGGGCCGGCGGGCGGGCGTCGCCGGAACGGGATCGGCGAGGGCGACGGCACGTGAGGGCGGGGCCCGCGGGTGTCGCCCCTTCCGTACCCGCCCTTGTACGGTTCCGTAACCACGGAATGGGGAGCGCGACGCCGCACATGGTGGGGGCCCGCGCCGTACGGTACCCGTCGCTGTCCGCCCGCTCCACCACTGCTCCCCCCGCCCGCCGGGTCCAGCTCCAGCGCGCGACCCGACCCGCCACCGATCCATCCGTCGCCGGGGTTGCGGCCTCGGCCCGGCGGGTACAGTAACAGTAGGGTGGCGCAGTGCGCGGGCCAGACATGGCGCGTGGATCGCATGGCCGACACACCTCACGACGCCTTGCCTGCCCACCACGCACTCACGGGAATTCATATTTCCGCCAGATGCTCCCAGGGCCCGATTTTATTTTTTATTTTCTGCACGAGTATGTGTCTGAAGTGTGGGTGTGGTAATGCTTCAGGTGAAACGATTTTAATATGGACTGTCACAGCTCAGCCGAGGTGTTTTCCAGGCAGAAACGGATGGAGGGCCGAGCGCAACGGAACAAGAGGGGCAGCGACAGGAGCGGGGAGACAAGGGTCAAGTGGGCGGTGGGTGAGCGGAGCGGAGCACACGAGGCGGGCGCTCTCGCCAGCAACCGCGAGCCGTACGGCGGAATACTCCTGAGCCGCATGAGCCGGATCACGCATGGCGCGCGCGCGCACGCCGTACGTTCCGTACACGGGAAATCGTACCCGGTCGTGGCACGGCGCCGCTCCCCCTTCTTCCTCCGGGTCTCCTCCTCCCAGAAAGAAAGAGAGCAAGAAGCGTACCGCACGGGGCGAGGCGAGAGGGACAGCGGCACGCGAGGCCGACGCGCGCCCTCGCTGTCCGATCGCAACGCAAAGGCCGTGCGGCCCGGTGGAGCGGGGAGCCGAGATGCGTGCGGCCCGCCAATGGCGTTTCTTTCTTTCTTTTTTTTTGTTGAGGGGATTCTTTCTTTTCTTCAGGAGCGTTGGGATTGGAAAAGAAAAAGGAGGTTAGGTCGGCTCCATAACCTGCTGGCCGGACCGTACGGCGGTACGGCGGTACGGCGTGGCCGGGTGGGTTAGGTTACTGGGTTGGTTGCGCCTCGTCGATCCACCATCATCGGTGCGTGATGGTTCGGCTGGACAGTGGAGCGCTTGTCGGGCCCGGACGAACTGTCGTGCTCGTGGATCGGTCGTGCGCACCTACCGTATGCTCGCTGGCTTTCCTTTTGGCCTGGTTTTTTATTGGCCTCGTGCGGGGTACGGTGCCACCTGATTCATGATTAGTGGGCGGGAGATGCAGACGCAGGTGAAATGTTTTGTTTGGTGTGGATGGGTGATAAGGTGACGTGCTTACCGCAAGAGAAAGGAATAAAAAGGATGATGAGATCCGGCCTGTCTTTTCTATCGGATTTGAAAATGGCATGTGGAAAATATTTCCGCGTCGAAACCGCGGGGCGGAATATGAGTTATGTTGAGTTATTTGGCATTTATAAAAGTATACAAGTAAAAAAAGGGAAGATCAAAACCAGCCCATCTTTTTTCGAGAAAACTTTCTATCTATTAAACATTAACGTAGTAAAATGAACACCAGAAGCATAAAAAATTACATCCAGGTCCGTAGACCATCTAACGATAGCTACACGCGCTGAAAAGAGCTGAAGGTGCGCCACTGTCATAACCTCTCCCTTATCAGAGCCGAACAAACCTTATTGTAGTAGACAGTCGGTAAGTCGTCAGGTTAAGGCCTCATAGGACCAGCACACGAGAACAACAATCGTCGATGATGATGAGAAGCGTACATCGGAAGCAAACATGTCTTTTCTATTTGATTGGAAAAAAAAGGCATGTGAAAAATATTTCCACGTTGAAAGCGCGAGTGGATATGAGTTATTTTGAGTGTTTTCTAACCACGCATTATTATAGTATAAAGTAATATACATAGTACAAAAACACGTGCAAACCGCTAGACAAATTGGACAAAGAGATGTGTCCCAAAATTTATGCAGCAAGGATCCGAAGAAAATAAAATTTACAAAAGGTTCACAAGAGATCTCTGCACACATCCAAACCAACAACTGCCTCCACACTCTAGCGTCGCTGAAGTGCTCACTGGAAGGAAAACTGCGAGCTCCAAAATCTCAATATGCAGGGCAACATCATCGCCGAATTGGCTTTCAAAACCGACTAATAGACCCACTGCATGTAGCAAGGCACTTGTCGTTGTGGCACACCGGGTGGGGGAACATCCCCATGCTGGCCTAGACCCGGATCCATTGCCTTCCACCGATGAAGTTGAAGGACAACGGTGGAATCGCCATCATCAGACCACAAAACCCATTTCTGGATCATCATCTTGTCCTGACCGATGGCACTGCTGCGAGAGACGGAAGCCACGAATGACACAAAGAACAGTAAATCTCACCATCTCAAATAGCCGGCAAGAAAAGGCAGCTACCGTCTTCTTGATGTCATCATGAAGATTGACGTTGTGAAGAGGATGAAGCCGAAGCACATTTATCCGGCGCGGTGCCGTCCTCATCACTCCCGCGCCACCAAACAAAAACATGGATCATATTTACATGAACACCATGGAAGGGGAACAGGATCCTGCCCCTCCATCGGAGCAACGAACAAAGGGGGTGAAGGCCATGGCTTCATCGGCGTTCCACAAGGGAAACTATTGTTTTCAGTTATGTGGCTTACAAATTATACCATTGAAAACTTCTTCTAAATGTGAATACAACGACGAAC